GAGCAAACAACATCTGTAGAGAAGCTAGAATGTGTATCAGGAATAACTACACTTTTCGCTCTTATAACAAAAGGCAAAATTCAATCAAACTTTAAAAAACATCCGTGCCATGGTTTTTTCTCAGGTCTTGACAGATACAGCAAAGATAAGCTCAACTTACCACTGAAAAGGAAGAGCAGTCACTTTCAGAATGTGAACTTTATCAGCATTTTTTTTTTTTTACAATTTTTAAACTAAGTATGATTTAACCAGTTTATAGACAAACAAGCATGAATCTGTGCTTCAACTTTTTGAAGGATTTCATCATTTGGGAAATAAGTTGCCCCATCTTTTTAAGGAGATTTCTGCTTTGCGTGAGTGTGTCATAGAGACATACCCTTGAACTCTGAATATGCTGACTGATAACTGTTGACAAGTATTTGGCCTCTAAGTCTGCAGTTCACCTAAAAGCCTTTTCAGTTGAGATTTAACATGATCTTCAACTGACCTGTGAGATCATATTACAACCTGACTAAGGTCCTCTGTACCATGGACCACAGTGGCCGAATCATTACAGGAACAGTAGCAGTCTAAGGCTAACGTGGTGCTCAGCTCAGCGGCAGCGAGTGCTCAATTTATTGCACATAGCACCTCGGGTGATCATTATCTATGTATGCAGTAGAGATAAAGAGTCAGAGGAGGCAATATGAGTTTCTCTGAAAGGGTTTACATTTTTATTTACATGAAAATAATGGATTGAAACACAACTTAACATCTTTAACTCAGTAGATGGTTAATCTTTTATGTGCAAAACTACAGTAAACAGCAAATACTACACTCCATCAGTATTCTTTTGTCTTACAGTGTTGTCCTTGACCTTTTTATCATGAAACTTCCTTTGCCTATGATGTTATTTTAGAGCCGCCCCCCACCCTTTGTCACAATGGTTCAGTCCATGCTGGCTGTAGATTTCCATACTGTGGACTAGTTTGTGCTAGAGTTGGGGGATGGGTGTTGCTAAGCAACAGTCTGTGCAGTGTACTTCCCCTCTGTCTGTGCGCTGCTAGCTAGGGTTCATTTTGATAATCACCATGCTGCACTTTATAAAATGCTGTAGACTTGATTTGAGTACGTATGTATTTGTGGTACCTGCAAATACAACATGCACTTGTGTCATCAATAAGAAAAAAAAAAGTAATTTTTTAACATATCATGTAATGCAACCCTGCTTTTTCCTGTCAGGAGCTTTACCTGGCTTTTCTTTTCAAAGGGTTTACGTAAAATCTTTTATAGGCTCATTTTGACTGTGCACCCCATGAATACCATACCATACCCCTACATGGAACAGGGTGGACTAGTCCTAACAGAGCCCCTCCTCCTTTCTTTTATGATCTGGTGCTGCTGGCTTCTCAGCCGTTCCCTGCTCCTACAATCAACAAATGCATTGAGGGCCTCAGTCCCACACATCCTGCTAAAGGTTGACATTTTTTGATTTCGAAGCATGTTTACCAGTTCTCTCTATCATTTAAATTAAACTCAGTTTTTCTCATTGCAGCTAAACACTTTTCTCAAGGGTAGCTTGAGATCCTTTTTGTCCAGTAGCTATGCTAGTTGGAGAAGGTAGAGTTTTGACTTTTTAAGGTTTGTATTCTGTTTTACCAGGAAGCATCCATTTCAGGCAATACTAATGGCAGATAGTTTACTATGAACTCTGACTAGCTAGCTGATCATCAATGTCAGTAGAGACATTTTGTAACCTGCAGCACTGTGTGTGATCTAATGGGTATGCGTACTTTTAAAAGCATTTTTTGTTGCTGATGAATCTCATCTTTAGGCTGAGTAACAGCACTTACACAGACAGTACAATGGCACTTTCAACATATTAGGTAGTTGGCAGGTCAGAAATGTCACACAGGTGTAAAGCATCTTCATTGCTTACAATTATGAGGGGATGCCATTACTGTTAAGTTGTATTTTTCAGAACTCTTAATGCAATTTTCAGCAAAATGTTACTAGCATAGTACATGTGATGTTTGAATTGTCTTTGCCAAAAGTGGGCCTTCCTGGTTCAGTTGCTAATGTACACAATCAGTGTTCACTGAACATGCTGTTTCAAATTTTTTTGTTCATGCTGTCCTGTTGTTCACTCATGCACAGTTCTGTGAGTGGAAAAAAACTGTTCTAGTATTTTAAGAATTACAAATGAACTGATGACCATATGTCAATACTGATTCATTAAAAATGTTTTCATTTATATCAATACAAATCTAGCATGTCAGTCAGGAATCTAACCAGTAGTAACTGGTGCCTCATTGCAAGCATGTATTACAATGTGGATGCTGTTCTTGGGAAGCCAACATGTTTTGCCAAGTTGTGCATGAATGTCCATGTAGTGTATCACAACCAGAAATGGCTCATTGTTTGTGTTATTGATTACGTTTTCCCGTGTCTTCAGAAAAACCTTCAATGATGCATGTTGGGAAAATTTTACATACTGCTAATATCTGGCTGTGTCTTCCACATCTGAACCAATAATATTTTACTTTTTATATTTAAAGGCAAAGTTTGGAATTTTTTTTGTAACTGTGAAGCAGGAATGCCAAATATTTTTTGCTTGGCAGAGAAGAATTTTTTTAATGTATGCTAGGCTATTTCTAAAAGCTTAGAAGACATTGCAACAATAAAATACCATCCCTCCCTTTTGTGCATTGCCATTTTTAGATAGCTGATTCTAGTTTAATCCTCTGGGTAAAACATTTGATGGAAGGTGGATTCTTTTTGTTATGACAATGACAAATAATCCACCTACTGTGAACAGCAGTCAGTGAATAGTGTCTCAGCAAATAAGTACAACTTGTGTGAAACAATGTTATGTGGTGAAAGTGCTCAGACCCATGCACTTTCACTTCAGACATTAGACTTTCATAAAGGTTTAGGCACAAGTGAGATTGTCTTGATGATATCACTGCTGTTCAAGTAAATAGTTACTTACAAATGATGTGGCTTTTGGTGACATAGCCTAAATGTGACATTAAATGCCACACCCAGCCAATGCATCCTCATCTGACGCATGAAATGATTGTTTTCTGCATTCCTCCAAGTTAGGTACAGCAGACATTTCATTCACATAGCTGCAGATAACTCTTAAAAAGAATATTTTGACCGAGGTTATATCCCAGTGGTTTTATAGTCAGTGTACATATAATAAACTGTATATATATTCTTAAGAAAATTGCTTTAACCATAATTAGCTATGTTTTTTAGTTTGGATTATAAAAGTTTATCAGTTGGAAAAATGGAACGCAAACATTTACATTATTTTATTTGAGTTTTACATTGGATTAATTAACATTTTGTTGATACATTTTTACATTTTGTTTACTATGCCAGTTTGCTGAAGCCCCAGGCTCAACAGAAAATTCTCATTGAGCAGGGTGGTGCTGAAACCTGATACATCTGACAGAAAGTCCTTTTCAGCTAGCTACTGAGATCTCAGCCTGGCAGCAAACAGCAGAGCTGACGGCCATTTTGAGTTTTCTGCACTAAATCGAGGCGCAGTAAATGAGGCCGTAGGATGGGGGAGGGGGGTATTATGCTCTGCGCAGTGTGCAATAACATTGGAATGTGAAGTGTAGCAGTGATCGTGCTCGCAATTTTTCACCGCTCCACATGTTTTTTTGTATGAATGCTGACTTTTTCATTATGCTTTTTTTTTTCAATTCAAGTTTTTAAGCAATTGTACTTCAATGTTTTCCCTCTTGTTTTTCCAATCAGGACCTTATGGTCATTGCAGGAAGTGTGCTGGCTGATGTGAGAACAGAGTAGGAATAGCTTACAGTGGTGAGCACGTACACCAGCATCTCAAGGTGTTGTTCAGCTTTACAATGTCAAGTATACGCTCAGTGCAGAACAGTCCTTGCATTTTTCCACACAATCGTGGCAGCCTACTACAAAATTAGACATTGCTGGAGACTGAGGCTGTTTGACATGATTTTGTCAGCTGCAGTCTTCCCAAGTCAGCAATGCAGTACCAGTAAAGCGAACCAAGTTTACAGTGTAAAACTGAAGCAGGTTATTGGTCTCACCAGACCAGGTTTTAAGGGTTGCATGAAATATTACTGGCTTTACATGTTGAGTTTTCGAATTTAAGCCAATAGACAGATTTAATTACATACCGGTTCTACTAATTGAATATGTCGGGTTTTTGTTGTGTAATCAAAGTAAACTGCAGTGGCTGCACATTTTTGAGCTCACTATCATATTAGTCAGTAAACTGATTTGCGTGAAAGCCTCTTTTCTGTAGTTTGACACCTTTCTCTTTGTATAGTTCAGACAGGCCACTTCCCTGTTTTGAGTCATTTTTCCTCACCTTTATGTGTGTGTTGGTTAGCATGTCGCGTCACTAACTGGGTTCTTTTAGCTGATCGTCTCACTAGCAAGTACCCAGTTACACACCTGAATCATTTTTCTGTTATACCGCATTATTGTTTTTGTTGGGAATTTAGCTTTGTCTTAATAATAATGCTGAATACGAAAGAACATCAACAATACTAAATTATCTAACACAAACGTATCCAAAACATCCAAGAGGCGTTCTCATATTATGTTGTAAAAATTGAGAGACAAGTAGTCAGTATTGATGTCATTTTACATAGCAGAAACAAAAATGGAGATAGAGAAATGGGGTTGCGTCATAAAACTTTGTTGTAGCATTTTGTAGGCATGTGTAGTCTGGCTTTAAGAATTGTAATGAAATCTGGCTTATTTTTTCTTTTTATGTCCAAATGGCTCCACTGTATCGTGTGATTTTAATATAATAGCAGATATACATCAACTTAATTGTGCCTTCAGTTTAATAAAATTCATACTGACACATCTCCTTTCAAAGCTAAAGGCCCAGTTGCTGCTCAAGGGATAGAGATAGATTGCTTAATTCAGTAGAGCTAAATTTAGGGTTACACTCTCAGTGTGTTAAAAGGAATAATGCTAGAGTTCCTAAACATTTTCTCTTTTTCCCTCAGGTTGTCAACGAATCCTGTGGTAAATCCATGACCAGGAACCTTTTGGCTTGAAGGTGAGATAAAGTTAATTAGTGTATGCATTGCTTGTTACTTGATACCATAACACTTTTTAAAAATTTGATACCAAATGTAAAATGAAATTTATAACTGCAACAGTTTCCTGCAAAACGCAGCTTCATTAAATGTATAATTTGTTTGACTTCCTTAAGAAAAAAAAAGTATAAACCACCACCTACATGTATGCGTATCAAATGACTACACACGAAATGAATACAACAATTACATTGTTTGCAACAATCAAAACTATGTTCGGAAAGTCCTTCATGTTTTGCATAACCTCTTTCCTGCTGCCAGCACAGCCTCGATTTCTTTGATCTGATTCGCTGAGGATTGAACCAATAGAAAGATGGGGAGATGGGAGGAAGGCTGGGTTGCTGCTGTTGTGAACTCAATGTCATTTTTATTCACTGGATCGTGGCTTAGATAAACATAAAATCTAGAGGTTAATCAGAAAATTATGGCCAGGGGTTTGTCAGAGCAGTTGAAGCTTCTTAGACTAACATGAAAAAGGGTTTCTGGTTGACTGAGCTGCTCCTTAAATGTTGTCAGTATAGGACAGATACAGTAGTGTAATCAGATAGTAAGGATCTGTCTGATTTGGCTTGGGTAGTAAGTCAAATTTGTAGCAAAGAAACAGGCTGTTACGGAACCGACCAGTTCGGTATGCAGACATCTGTGACAGAAGAACCTTCTAGAAAAGAACAAACAAGAAAGCCAAAGAGCTCTACAGTGACCTCTAGTGTTTTCTCTGAAACTGTGCAGCCTTTGCTTTACTATGCAGTGCGAAAAGAACAGGACGGGCTCATAAGCAAAACAGGCAGTGCGGTTCACTGCGGCTCTAGATCTTTACTAGTCTCATCATGCCCTTTGATTGGATCTAATATCTCCTTGTCATTCCACAGGCAGCAATGGAAGTTGTTGTGACAGAGGAGAAGAAGAAGATTTTCCGTGCTAGGAAAACCATGAAGATCAGTGATCGACAGCAACTGGAGACCCTTCACAGCACTTTGTTGACATCGGCTCCAGGTTTGTCCAACCCATCTCCACCTCCTCTAATGAATGGCACGCATAAAGAGGATGGACAAAAAGTGGGTGACAAAGAGCAAAACAACATTTCGGACTCAAACTCCCCACGTGCCGCATCACCAGGCTCTCCAGCCTCTCTGAGCTCTCCTGCACCATTCCTCTCCCTAAATCTGTCTCCTTCTCCAGCCTCCTCACAAAGTCCAAAAGCAGAGGAAGAAACTACTTCTCCCACGTCACCATTCCAGTCCATAAACTTTGAATTGAAAAAGATAGAGGACGAGGAGGAGGTTGAGGTGAAGAAAGATTGTTCACCGTCCTCTTTAAATGAGTCCGCTACACCAGCATCAACAGAATGTAAGGAGCAAAAGGAAAAGGACACTGAAGCGATCCCAGCAGTGGAAAAGAAGGAGGTAAATGTCAAGAAATGTTTCAGGAATTAAAATACAGTTGTATTAATTCTGTTAGTTAGGATAGATTGATAATCGGAAAAACATTCAATTAATTATCTGTCCATGCTTTTCCTCAGGAGAAACCGACTAAAACGGATGACCCAACTGTGGATTCGTCAAAGGATCCTGTTAAAGGTTCAGTTTCATGCTCGCCTGTGCCACCGCCCGTATCTGAATGCACAGAACCAATGGATACAGATAGTGACACAACAAAGGCCACAGACCCTGAGGTCTCCACAGCCAAAATAAAAGACGAAAAGCCTTCCTCCACCAAACTTGCCACTTCCGATATTTCCTCTTCTTCTTGTCCTTCCTCATCTCATCCAGCTTCCTCTTCATGTACGGATCGAAAACAAACATTGGAAATCAAAGAGGATAACATCAAAGACAAGGAGAATGACAAAGCAGATGTGAAGAAAGGATCAATATATGAGGCTAAGATGGAAGTGGACTCAGTGAAAGTGGATCCCAAAAAGGAAAAAAGTGAAGTTCGACAAACTACAAAGCCATCTCGACCGTCATCCACTCCACCAACAAATACAGGTATGAGGTAGTACCGTGAGATAGCTACAAAATAGTTGGCTCATATTGGTAAACAAAGTCACAGAAATTCAAAGGGAAAAGGAAACAAAAGCAATTTTAGGTGGTATTATATTAACTTGGACAGTTTATATAACAAAAAAATGGTCATATTAGATGCTGTGCTGACCAAGAAAACAACTCGGCCAGAAAGTATATCATGCATAAAAGATTAAGACCAATAAATGGCAAATTCCGAGTTCTAATCTGTGTTTGTCTGTTTTTCCGAAGCAGCGCAGGAGGAGAAGAGCTCGACCTCGGGACTAAAGCGCACTTTATCGGAGGGTTATGAAAAAGACGAACAAACTGTGAAAAAAGAAGGGAAGAGGCCCAAAGTGGAGCGTGAGGAGCTGGAGGCCCAACTGGAACTTAAAATTACTGCAAAAGCAGGCAGTCACCATAAACTTGGACAGGTTTGTGTTGAACTGTCTCTCTGCACTTTTCCTTATATTTTTCTGAAGCCTGAGAGCGAATTTTGCTTAAGTACAAGACATTTCTTCAGTCATTTCTTAACTTTTTGTCCCTTTCCCTGTTATTCTCTCTCAGATTGTGCAACAGCTAGTGGATGAACGATTGAGGGTCTTGGAGCTGACCATTTTTGACAAGCATTTCCAAGACTTGAAGGATAGAGTTGACAAAATTGATTGTGCCACTAAACATCAAACCGCCATTAACACACTCCAAGTAAGTACACTGTAACATTGTAGTGTGGAAGACACTTTCCTATATGTCGTAACATGCAGCATTGTAAGACGTTCTCCCCCCAGTTAGCAAGGTCTTAATCAAAAGTGTACTGCCTGTTTCCCTAAGGCCAAGATAGCTCGGCTAGCAAAAAAGTTTGGAGAGGCCAATCAGGCATCAGAGAACAAAAGGAAACAAGAGGTAAGACATGGTTTATCTTTTGTTTCTTGCTTAAATTTTTGCATCTGGTATGAAAGTGATATTGCCTGAGAAAGCTCTAAAAGCCTGCCATTTGATTTTCACAGGCTCTTGCTGCTGTTACTGCTGCTGCTGCCGCTACTGCTGCCAAGACTGCAACTGTTACAAACAACCCTCAAGCTCAGCGGTAAGTGTGTCCATGCCTAGAGCAATTTCTCATCTAGATCCTTGTCAACCATACTTTATATATTAACTTATGAATTTAGAAATGAGGTTCCCAAGGCTTTTTTTTTTTTTTTTTTTTTTGGAAGTGATGTTTATCGCTTCACTGCAAGCTCAGACCATTTTATCATGTGACAAAATATTTAGAGTTTTCAAAATTCGCAGCATCAGTGTATTGAAACATGTAGCCCTGAATCATACAGCAGTCTGTGCACTATGATATTTTGTGTGAATATAATTTGGCTTTTGTATGAACGTGACAATACCGGACTGAAGCCAGTACTACACATGGAACCGTTCACAGCGTGAATAGTTGACATTGTCCCGGGTTGCTAACTGTAAATAGTAGAAACTGAATTTAAAACAAATGGACAGAATAAAAAGAATCTTTACATCCTCCAAATCCATACTTTTCTGGAAAACAAGATTTCATGTCCTTCCTTCGGTTTGTCAGGATGAACTTTTTGAAACCCTCAATTTCATTCCAAATATTTCTTAAGACTTGTTTGGAATAAACAAACACACGCCCCAGTCTGTGTTTTGCACCTGCAAAGTAAATCCACGTGGGTCCAGGTCCTGAGTCTTGTGACGTTCTACAATGTGAAGCCTGAGCGTTTCTTCAGGCAGTGCAGAGTGTAGTTAAAACTGCACCTCTCCTCCCAACAGCGTGCTCCGTCGGCAGACAGTAGGGCCGCAGCCTGAGGTGCCCAGAGAGGGAGGGGCGCCCTCTGTTGGTAAGACTCCTGCACTGTCTGTCAAGATGGAGAAGGAAGAAGAGGAAATGGAGGAGGAAGAGGAGACGGACATGTCTCGCCATATTGCCATGGCAAGAAAACTGGCAGAATATAGTGAAGGAAAATGCAGAGCAGACATTAAACTTCGCACAATTTCTTCCCACTTGGAGAATGTGTTGTACCACAACTGCAAGAGAAGCTCAGGAAATCCCAGGCCTGACCGCTACGCCTCTTACATTTTCCGTTACTTAGTCCCATATGACGTCTACTGTGACTGGGTCGCAAAAGTCAACTATGTTGGATTACTGGGCAAGGAGGCACTGCCCACAAACTTGAGGAGGACAATGAGGATGTACATTGAGCGTCGATTTCCTGTGCTGTCTTGCAACAGATGGAGAGAGATCCGTGACGTAATCAATGAAATACTGCGAGTAAAGAGAAGACCGGAATTTTTTCGAGAATACGATGAGAGAACTGCGGTGTCATTTTGACACTGTTATGATGGCATAACAGAAGCATACTGGGACAATTGTCATTATACGTGATAGCAAATATCAAAACATTTTGTCTAAATACCACTCAATTACTTAGATCCTTTTCAGTGTTCATAAAATGGATATAATGTTAAAAGGATTTAATCCCTGGTGGCTTGTACCCTAAAGCTGTGGAACTGGCACCACACTTGAAAACCATGAACTACAATTAAATAATGATGAATGCTTTAAAGAAAACTCGGACATGCACTTTAATAATGAGTTGACGTTTTGCCACAAGCTGTTGATAGATTGCTGTATAAAATGGAATAAAATGAAATGTCAGCACCTTATATTCAGTCGTCATCCTGTCATGGACATATACAGCTTCGAGTGTCAACAACTCTAAGTATAAGCAATCTTTCTAAACAGGCCGGTCCGGACTTCCATGGAGGTAAAGCAGACTCCAACAAGTGTTTCTTCCTCCATCACAGCTGGTGAGCAGCACGGTTTTCTTTATGCTGGATGTTGTGTGGGTCCATTGTTCTAGATACCCAGTGGCACATTGATTTGCAGTGTTACTTCTCAACAGCAAAATTCTAGGTTTTCAGTCTTGGTCTTGCTTCTTTGCATGTGGAATTTGCATGTTCTTTATGTGTTCTGAGCAAAAGAATGCTTTCAAAGACCAACACCAACAATGAACTGATCTTACGAACAAGTATTGCCAGTGTTGCCAAATGCAGAGGACATGTGCCTTCATTAACATCAGTGCAGTAGTTTATTTTGAGTCAGTCCGACAGACTCTGTCCTGCTAGTGCAAATATACACTTGCCAACCATATCTGTGGCTGCTCCCCAATGTTTACTCCAATTGAGTTTATCAAAAACCATGTAGCCCAGCTGCCATAGAAAATTGTTTTGTCTCTTTTTTTTTTTTTTTTTTTTTTAAATAAAAAAGTGGGTTTTTGAGGCACATTAAAATTTTTTTAAAAGAATTATATATATATATATATATTTTAAAATTCTGTTTGAATGAATGGCTTGGGACTGAGCACCATAAACTGGTTGATGAAATCAGAAATAATTTAATGATGGACTGATGCATTGTTGGTTTTGTTCTGGGCGTTATTCACAATAACAGAAATACAGAAAATCACCAACCTTTTCCTTTTATGTTTTTCTGTAGATGTGTGGAAGAGTGTGACTGAATTTGTCTTTATGTTTGTCGTGCAATGTGTATTTACATTCGTTTTCCTCGTTGCATGCTGGAATAGGTTTTAGCTGCCTTAACTCTTACTGGCAATAACAATACGCGGATATAATGACTTGACTTTGACTGACTGAGTTGACTAAGTGAGTAAAGGTGCACAGAATACAGGTTATTTAAAAAATCTCAGTGATTCCTCTTGTCCCATCCTAAAACTTGTTTTCCTTTTTCCCCCAGCAATTTCAACACCAGCAGCTCTGCCAGTTCCCACTGCAGCTCCAGCTCCAGTCCCTGCCCCTGTCTCAACTTCCACTTCCACTGCAATGGTTTCACAAACCCCCATTCTCCAGCTGATCACCTCCACCTCTAATGCTGCCTCCACCTTGGCAACTGCCATCACCACTCAAAGTCCAACAGGCACCCTGCTGCTGAAGACGGCTCCCGGGAGCGGCATGATGGCTACAGGCCAGCCGCTCCTCATCCAGCTTCCTTTATCAGTGAATGGCCAGGCAGGAACGCTGGTCAACATCCCTGTGTCCTCTTTGTCTGCAGCCAGTTCTCTGAACAAGGCCAAAACCACTGCTTCCACCACCACCTTTATACTCAAGCCTGCTCCTGCCACTACCACAGCACCAGCGTCTGCTTCAGCTGTTGCTACTGTCCCAGCCCTGCAGGCCTCCACTGGTCAGATGTCTTCTACCCAGATCTCGCTTGCTCGTGCTGTGTATCAAGGGGGCGCTGGGGGAATAACTACACCGAATGCTGGGGTTTCTGTGACCACAGCCAGGACACCAGCTCAATCTGTCTCTGTAGTCGGAGCTATGTCATCAGCCTCATCACCTGCAACTTCTGGGCCAGCAGCAACAGGTTCCACTGCTCCAGGACCCCCACAAGGGACATCACTGACATCAAAGACAGGTGGGGGTGATGATGAAAGTACAGTAAGGCGTGTTGAGGTAAAAGTTGCTTGCTTTTACTTTTCCTAAATGTATCTCTAAATCAATACTTTCCTGCCTTTTGCAGACAATCAAGCTACCGGAACCACTCCATCCAAAGCAGCTGTGCCAGTAGCACGACCCAAAGGCTCTGTCATCGATCTCACCGAGGACGATGACGATGTACAAGGTAGGACTGAGCATCAATTCTTTCTGTTACCCATGCTTTATCATAGCACTTTAGAGTGTGTTTTCCATTCACACTCACACTCAAATGGTGATTTTATGATTTGATCTTTGTACGAACTGTGTTCGCCTTCAGGCTAATTATGTTCTACTGTATGTTCTTCAGTGACCGGAGTGAAAAGTGCCACGGTTACAACTCCTTCACCTACTGTCCGTTCTACCACAGTCGTCAGCATTCCCAACAGTAAGACCACCAAATTACATTGAGGGCATGATCAGGTATTTTTGTGCATGCATGAGATATTGTGACGAAAAAATAAATCAGTGTTTGATATTCTGCAAAAAAAAAAAAGAAATCCTGTTCTAAATTTTAAAAAACATCATAAACTTTTAATGAGTGTTTTACAATAAATTATGCATGTACTGTAACTTTTGTGTGTCCTCTGTTCTTAGGTGCAGGAGCAAGGTCATCTCCACTCAGCAATCAGAACTCGTCCAGCAATCCTCAATTGACAGTGCATCACCGCCCCCCACTGGTGAGGACTTACAAGTGAATTTTACATATTTCCCACTTATGTAGTTCTGTTATTGTATCACTTGTCTTTTAAGCCTTGTTAAGTATGTTGATCTCACGCTGGCTGGCCACCACAGTTGCTTGGTGTTTTCAAAAGAACAAGTCTCGACATCTGTGTCTCCTATGCAGGACTCTCCTATGAAATCCCGCACGGTAACCACTACTACACCAGCTCGAAGCTCCAGCATGACACTTCCTCCTCTTCCCGTTGCTCCCGCACCGCCACGTTTACCCCCCGAGGCCGAACGGACCTCACCTCCTCAACAACCTCAGCTGAAGCTGGTGCCGAGTCAGACCGGTATAGTGCTGTCCTGGTGTGTGGCAGAAACTGATCGGACCTGCGCGACTGTAGAAAGCTATCACCTTTATGCCTTCCATCAAGACAACTCTAGCAGCAATGCAGCTCAGCAGCACTGGAAGAAGATTGGGGAGGTGAAGGCCCTTCCTCTACCTATGGCCTGTACACTGACCCAGTTCCAGTCTGGCTCTACGTACCATTTTGCTGTTCGAGCCAAAGACATCTATGGGCGCTTCGGCTGCTTCTGTGAACCTCAGTGCACAAATGTCATAAGTTCCAGCTCTAGCTGAACCGTTAAGGAACAGAGACAATTTTTTGCCTTTGAACGTTTATGACTTCTTGTGTTAGGAAGTCGAATATTGTGCGTTGAACACATACAGTATCTGTAAATATCTCTCCACATAACAACTGGACTACTGACTGACTTGGAGAACTGAAGTGGCAAACAGTTGTTTTTGTCTGGTTCATTGTAATGTATTTTTTGTGACTTAAGCTGTTGTGTATATAATTGAATTAATTTTGCCCCTCTACCAAGTCAGATATTTATGTTGTCCTCTCCTGTTACTCAGACCCAGATCTTTTTTTTCTTTACTTGAGGATAGGTAACAGGATTATTCATATGAACTCAATTGCACAGAAATGTATAAACATGTGGTAGAAATGGAATGATAACTTTTGTAAGTTTTGTCTGGCAACCAGACTTTGACAAGCATAATAAAAGGTTTTATTAAATCTAGACTTTCTAAGTTTGTGGCACATTAAATATTCTACTGTTGAGTTCATAGTTCTTCACTGCAATTACATACAATGCCAATCTACCATGTGGAAACCAGCAGTGCTTTACAGAGACGGCACTGTGGGAGCAAGATGCAGAGATAACTGTGACAATTTCTTGTTTTACCAGGTCAAGTAGATTTATTTACATAGAAGTGCTTTTTATTTTTATTTATCTTTTATTGTGATCCAGAAATCTCACTCTTACAGCTCAGTGTCTGGCAGCCAGTTATGAACTTTAAAAGTGCCAACATTAGGGACTAATTATACGACTAATCCTCACTTGTTCCACACAGACAAGAGGAAGTCATTGTCTAACATAATTCTCATTTGCTGCTTCAACAGCTGTTTATTTTATGTGGAAATTGTGGATCTACAGATAAAAATAATGGCGACTTAATGATTCAAGATTCAAAGGGCTTTATTCTCATTTCAACCACATACAGCTGTACAGTACACAGTGAAATGAGACAGCGTTTCCCAGATCCAGAGCTGAAGTGGTAGCGCAAAATGCAGTGCAACAAGATAAAATAAAAATAAAAATAAGACAAAAAATAGAATAAAATAAAAATATGATAAAGTTAAAATATAAATAGAAATATTGAAACAGTAGTGCAATATAAAAAGGTAGTGCAAACGTACAATTTAAACACGGCAAACAAAACATTACAACACAACACAGACAATACAGCACAATGGAGGTAGTGTGTGTGTGTGTGTGTGTGTGTTTGTGTGTTTGTGTGTTAGTCCAGTCCTTGAATGTTTAACAGTCTTATGGCTTTAGGACCACTAAAGGGGGCTGCAGGCGCAGTTGGTAGCACTGTTGCCTCGCAGCAAGAAGGTCGCTGGTTCGCGTCCCGGTGGGGACGCCGGAATCTTTCTGCGTGGAGTTTGCATGTTCTCTCCGGGTTCTCCGGCTTCCTCCCACACAGTCCAAAAACATGCCGAGGTTAATTGGTGATTCTAAATTGTCCGTAGGTGTGAATGTGAGTGTGCTTGATTGTCTGTCTCTCAGTGTGGATAGACTGGCGACCTGTCCAGGGTGTCCCCTGCCTTCGCCCTAAGTCGGCTGGGATAGGCTCCGGCCCCCCCGCGACCCTAATGAGGATTAAGCGGTGTATAGATAATGGATGGACCACTAAAGGGTTATGCATTATCATGTATGGTAAATTTGCACATTGTACCATGTCACATGATATGGTCCTTTAAAAACTAAAAAGGATGCTTTTAATTTTCAAAGTGGTGCTAATCACAAAATCACTAGGTTTCTTTGGTGGTAGAGCAACAACACAAAAAATTCAATCTTTGGGTATGTCTACCTAAACTAATCAGGAGAAACACCGTGATACATGAGAAATAGGTGGAACCACTCAAGGATCTAGAAAGGTAGCATCTGCTTAGGATTTGGGTTAGTGAAACAAACCACAGCCCCATCAAAACCAAAGGTGAAACTAGATGTCAGAGTACCTAGTTCAGGGGTTCTTGCACAATAAGATTAGACAAACTAGTCTGAAGGAGAGTATGCTTGGATCTATGTCCTATAGTGAAGGAAACTGGACAGAGATTGCACACGGAATGGAGAAAACACGCTGCCACAAAAAAACAAGAAAGACAGACTGGGGTTGAGGCTCAGAAAAATCACAGAACAGAAATTTGAACGCTTCTGACAAAAGGTAATGCAGCCATTGGCAGTGGCCTAGCTACAGGATCTAACAAACAGACAATCTTACATTCTAAGGGCACAGTTTGAGGGACAGAACAGTCTATTCGAAGTATGGACGTAGAAAGGCAAGCAGAAACTGGCTCAGACTGAGACAGGTACATGTTCTGGCTCAGAATCAGGCCCAGGCTGGGACGTGGCCCCAAGCTCTGACAAAGAGGTATGTAGAGATCCTGACAGAGAGACAAGAACAGGGCAGAGGACAGAAATGGAGTCTGACATATATATATTCAGAGACAGAAAGAAAAGTAGATACTGGTTCAGGGATAGTCTCTTTCAGCGTAACATGCCCTGACAGGAACAGTGGCCGTCTGAGACAGATACAGCATCAGGCCCTGTCAAAGGTACAGGGGCATTGACCTCAAAGCAGTCTGACTGTTGAGGACCAGTGGAACTGAGCAGGTATGTAACAGAGACGTTCACTTCCAGTTAACTTAAAGTTGGCCCAAGGTAGACCAAGCAGACTGTAATAGAACGGAGTCAAGAGGGAGGCAAAGGAAGGAGGCTAATAAGACAACGACAGGTGGCAATGGGGAGGCTGGTTCCTGGACTGAGACATAACTTAATCCAGGAGTACTGCATCGATTTAACCCCCTGGAAGATGATGCCTGCTGGATTGGGTTCCGGAATCCAGGAGAGACTCCAGGAAAGCAAACCGATGAGAAACCAGAAAAAAGGCAGGCTAATAAATCAACTGGTGGCTTCCTAGCTCCCAAAGGCCAAGCACTGTGGAAGACGAGAGGAAAGTAAGTGGACACACCAGGGCAGTTAATGCACTACTGTGGACATTCCCAGACACAAGGGGACAAACGTTTTGAAGGTTTCCAAGCAAGACAATACCAAGCAGGGCAGAGCCTTTCAACTACATCAGTCAGTCATTGGAAAGTCACCAGAACTGACTCTTTCCAGGGTGACTGACACCAGCAGGACTGGAAATACTTATTAGGCCTCAGGCTAGCAATGCCATATAGGAGAATTGGCAATCATTGATTTGACTCATGCCATTGATCCATTGTTGTATGTTTGGGACAGTGTTACATTTTATTGGTCATAGAAAGGGACAGACCATTTTACTGATTCACCCTCGTGTGTGGAATAAGTACACCTCCTGAGTGCTACAGGTCATACATAAGTTCACTTTTTTTTCTTACAAAGGCCAATTTAAAAACCAAACCAGAAGCCACCCAGCTTTGGGACTTGGTTGGATCAAGGGTCCCCAGAAGCATAAAACGCATGGAAACTCATTGGAAAATGGAAGAAACATTGCAAAGAACTTCTGAACCTATGCCCTCTACAGAGGGGTCATAGTTGGAAGACTAAAGGAAAGTGGGTCATCCTTGTCACAGGGTGACAAGTATAGTGTGTGTGTGTGTGTGTGTGTGTGTGTGTTTAACATGCTCTCTCAGGATGCGCAACACGTGTGTGATTAGGTCACAGGTGTGGGTAGTTTGGGGCGCTGCTTTTCTTGCACTCTTTAGGTGACAGTAGAGGGGCATGAGGAAGCCAGAGAGCAGCTGAGCTGACGGCAACGTACTCACGGGAGGAACGCGGTGGACAAGTGCTGGTCAGACGGCTGTGACAGCACAAGGCATCTTGTCGCAAGTGTGGGGGACAGCACGAGAGGAGCGACGCAGACAGACCACGTACTTACCAGCCTGCCTGGAGTGAAGGAGCTGCTGCTCCCCCTTGGAACAGGTCGCCACATGCCAGAGAGGCAACGGAGACACACGGTGCAAGAGGGGGAAGCTTTGGGCAAAAGTGGAAGGGTGGGGACACGTTCCACCCTTCCTTCAGATAAGCACCCCTCTACTTACACTATTGCATATACTGGACAGGATATTACCGGTTTACCTGCTGAGGCCAAATTGTTTTATTAGGGTCCGAGCACTAAAGGGTGCGAAGACCCTATTGGAATTGCTAGGGTTTATTATTATTCATGACAAAGAAACGCGTTTTTGAGGTACTCAGCATACTCACACACTCACCAAACTCGCCACACACATCAGACCCGGTGAAAAATTTTAGAATTAGGGGGAAATACACACCTCAATAGCAAAATGGCTCAACAGCGCCCCCTACAGAATTACAAAAAATGGGCCCCCGAACACACTTCCACGTAGAGCCACTAAATTCAGCACACACATGTAACAACTCAAAACGCACAAAAAAGCCTCAAGAACACATACCCAAAACTCAACAGGAAGTTGGCCATTTTGAAAAAAAATGGCGGCTTACCGCTGGAAATTGGCCATTTATGGCCGATTTCAAAATTTAGCTCCTCCTACGGGTAGGTCGTACACAGTTGGAATTTGGTCAGCACAGACTACGCAATGTGGTGATTAAAATTTATTAAAACGCTCCGCAAAAGTCTGACGGTGTGGAAATGGCGGCCCGGGCAATTTGCATCAATGGCCATTTTGCCCATTTTTTTGGTGTTTTCGGCATTCAATGGAGTGCCGTCGGAAGGCCGTTTCATCTACACCTCCAAGATTCGGTGGGGATATGTAGCAGCTTGGGACGCACAAAAAAGTCAATTGGCACCAAGCCCTAAACCCAACAGGAAGTCCGCCATTTTGAAAAAATCACGGTCAGAATTTTGCGATTGTGGCTCATTTTTGATCCATTTTTGGCCATTTTCAAAATCTCTCTCCTCCAAGGGGGTACGTTGTACACACCTGAAATTTGACCAGCACAAACTACACATGGTGATTAAAAGTTATCAAAATGCTCTGCAAAAGTCTGACGGCATGGAAATGGCGGCCCGGGCAATTTCACCAAAAAGCCATAAAACGCCATACAATGGGATGTACTGTGTAACTGGCCTGCATGTGCTCCGACCGGCCTGAAACTTCACACACATGCTTCAAGTCACAGACAGAGCATGTTAAATACAAGTGGCTCAGTCGCACTCCCGTGAGAAGCAAGGACCCGACCAATGCCGCTTGCGACTTTAATTGTATTTGTTTTTATCCAATCAATTAAGGAAGCTACAACTTGGCTATCTCTGCCATCAGTTATTATATGGACAATTACAGTAATTTTTCGACTGGGTTTATTTTCCCTAAATTGCCGTGGATTTAATTTTTGATTGAGTGATTTATTTGTTTATTTCTGTCTGTCTTGTGTTGGACTCTTACTTTGCTGTGATTCTTTTATTTCGTTTACCCACCCAAAATTGTTTGTTCATGAATTGTCTTCAACAACTGGACACTGATAGGGCATTGATCACCCTGATGGATGAC